CAATCGCAGTGGCCACGTGATCAGGAAGCCTGCCTCCCGATGTTAAAAACCCCTTAAAGGGCTAGTGGGAGCAGGAGACAAAGGGTTAAAGCTGGAGTTTTGCTTTAAAGGAAACTTATTTTGAAAGAAAATTGGATACTGCCATTGCTGAACTCTTCATCCGAAAAAGTCAGTTGCCTTTGTATCATGTTGACCATTTTAGTTTAATTCTTTAGTCACTAATCTGGATGTATATGCAGATGAGGACTTGTGGTTCATACGGTAACATTGCACAGTGTTTTTACAACTAATCAGCTTCTCTTTTTAATTTTCAAAGCTTAACTGAACAAACTTGAAAAGAAAAGCTGGTTACTATGGACAACTGTTTCAGATTCTGTCTACTCCAGTTTTGATAAATCCCCCCAGTTGAGGGTCAGCATAAGAGCCAGTCAAGTAGCATTTTGAGGAGTTCACCAATGGTAGCCCCTGTGGTCCTCTCGTGACAGGGGTGCTATAAGAAAATGTCAGAGATGATTCAGAGATAAGCTGGCCATACTCCAGTAGAATTTTGTTTGAAAAAAAAAATTTTTGGATGGAAAAAGTATGGAAAGTATGGAAACTTTTTCTCTAACACAATTCTAACAGTGAATGTGTTTTTTCCGATCGAGTAATTTAAACAGCCCCGATGCTGGCGACGTACACTGTACGTCGTCAGTCACGAAGGGGTTAATTTCAAAATCAGATGGTAAAACCAAAGAGATTTATGTATGATCAATAACAATATATTGTATGGCCATCTTTAATCAATGGTGACTGCAAAGCCAATAACAACTTGTTTAACCTTAGGGCTTTAACGAGGATGCATAGCCACAATTGGAGGATGAAGGAAAAAGAGGTTTATTTTGAAAATGTGTAGAGGGTTCTTTATGGTCTAAGAACCAGAAATGTGGAACTCCCTTGCCCAGGTGGTGGTATGAAAGTATTGACATGTTCAAAAAGCTTCTAGATGTCTTCCTTGCTGAGCACGATATACAAGGATATGTATAATTAATCATCATAATAATCATCATAATAATAATGTAAAAAAAAACGATACCCATGTATACATACTGTATGTTGGACTGGATGAAGCTGTGGCTTTTCCAACTTTATCTACAATGTACCTATATGTAACTATGGTTGGCAAGGGTTGTATTGTCTTGTGTATCTGCTTCCATTAGTTCACCAAAGATCAGTGGTTTCTCCTGCCGACCTTCATGTAATATACTATGTCCTATAGTGATGTGGGACCAGGAGGTTGACACTTCCAGAAGTGTCATTTCTGAACAGACTTCATAGGAAGATATCTCATCAAGGGAGCAGTCTATGTCACAGGTAGTAAAGGCAAGTATTTATTATCTTCTTCTACTTGGCCATTTTCAATTTTCATGGTGGTATTAACTGATCTTTTTAAAGGCTTTCAGTCTTCAGCCTTGTGCTTTCATGTGGTTCTCTGTAAATCCTAATAGTTTGATAATTCACAGCAGAGGGTACACTAGTTATTAAATAATGGTCATACAATAAAACAATAGGTCTAAAGAGAGTGTGACCAGGGTACCAAATAGATCCAGATTGCATCCTTTCCCTTCAGGCCTCAGATCAAAGTAAGTTCAGAAGCCGACCCAGCCTCTGATGAGGCTCCAAGGCAGAGTCTCCTCTATTAACAGTGAAGAGGAAAGGTGCTAAGCTTTCAAACCATTGTGTAAATTGTAGTTGCATAGCAGCCAATAAAAGTAGCTCTTTGCCTGATATATATACATCCTCACACATCAAAGCAGAGACAGGGCCTCGGGGTCTTATCAAAGCTCTTCTTGCGTGCGCTCATTGATTTTAGTTAAGTTTCAGGTCACCTTTAATTTGATTTGAGGGCTGTAGAGGTCTGAAAAATGATCTAGTGTAGTGGTTCCATAGAAAATAGTTAAGGTGCCATCCCCAGAGGCGTCCAGATCTTTGTAGGTCCCACATGGTGGTCCTACATGTAAAGAATGAACTTCAAGGAAATGGATAGATGCCCTCATTTGCTCACTCATTTATTCCTTCAAAAGTCTTAAAATGATTATTCAACTTAGAAAATACCAGAAATCTGTATTTATTCTGAGCTGAATCAAGCAGATGGGCAAAGGTTGAAGCATTTTAATGCTAAACTTCAGCCTTTGCTTTTGCACAGTTGTACAGACCCTATCCTGAAGAAATTGCTTACTCTGATTTCACTGCGCAGTATTTCACAATGTGCATTAGAAGCTGCAGCAAGTCATACAAAGCCCGCTTAATTTTCTGCTTAGAGAATGTCCAGCATTATCTAGTACTTTCCTCCCTACACACTCCCTGGCCTACCCCTTTCATTCATTGGATTTCTGTTCTTTCAGTCATGGAGGCTCAGCATCACATGTGGGCATTGAATAGGGCAAGGCATTTTGATATTTCTACAACTCCTCCCAAGAGCGTGCCAGTCACTGGTATTTAATTAAACACAAACCGTTTTATTGGCATGTTGAGGAGGGGGAATGGGGGGATGGGGGAGGAAAAATATAAGGAGATTAAACTTCAGCTTTAAAGCCTCTGGGCACATTAAAATAATTAAAATGACTTCCACCTCCTCCTGCTCCCAATGAAGAAAATATTGCTCATTTTTTTTCTGTGGATGGGCTAGCACAAAGTAATAGTCACTCACCAGTCATCCGCTCTCCTGCGTTATCCCATGACCAGTCCTCTGCTCTCCAGGCCTGTCCCATGACCAGTCCTCCACTCTTCAGGGCTGTACCATGACTAGTCCTCTGCTCTCCACAGCTGTCCCATGACCAGTCCTCCGCTCTCCAGTACAGTCCTACAACCAGTCCCCTGCTCTCTAGAAATGTCCCATGACCAGTCCTCCACTCTCCAGTACTGTCCTACAACCAGTGCCCGGCTCTCCAGCGCTGTCCCATGACCAGTCCACCACTCTCCAGTACTGTCCTACAACCCTGCTCTCCAGCGCTGTCCCATGACCAGTCCCCCACTCTCAAGTGCTGTCCTACAACTAGTCCTCTGCACTCTAGAGCTGTCCCATGATCAGTCCTCCTCTCTTTAGAGCTGTCCCCTGACCAGTCCTCTGCTCTCCAGCACCATCCCATGACTAGTCCTCTACTCTACATCTCTGTCCCATGACTAGTCCTCTGCTCTCCAGTGCTGTCCCAGGACCAGCCTTCTGCTCTCCACCACTGTCCCACGACCAGTCCTCTGCTATCCAGCGCTGTCCTACGACCAGCCCTCTGCTCTCCAGCACTGTGCCATGACCAGTCTTCTGCTCTTCAGCGCTGTCCCACGACCAGCCCTCTGCTCTCCAGCAATGTCCCATGCCAAAAACATTTCTTTGTTTTGACTATAGTGGGGAAGGGTTAGAACCTTTGGCAAGGAAGGGATTCTATTTGTTCCTCTATCCAAATATAAATAAATCTGATTGGCGATAGACTTTAGCTTTTGAACCACAATGCTGCCTAATTTTTTACTTGATTTAAAATTGTACTTATATTACCTACAGTAACAGTAAATTCCACGTACTGTCTAATCTCCACTCTTCTCATCTGCCTCATTATGAAATGCTTATCACAGGCTGCCTATGACAGGGAACATTATCTCCCTCCCCAAGGTCACCGTCAAGGGCACAGCATGAGGTGGGGAAGATGCCATTGATTTTGAAGTAACGAGGTTTATATTATAGCAGATGGAATCCAGATTTTGATTTGAAGGACATAAAGTGAGGCTCCCCCGAGGAGGGCAGAGACGTGCCCGGGCCTAGGGCGCAGCTGCCGGCTTAACCCCTTTAGTGCAGAAGGACCGCAATATTACATTTTATTGAAAGCAGAAAATAAAACAATTACTAGAGTTATCAAAAACAGACAAATGAAAGAGGGAATATTAAGAGCAGACAAAGACTCACGTCAATGGATTTTTGAACCAGCAGGGCATGGAAACTAAGTGTACTAATGCTTTATAAACCCAAAACAGCGACATTGCGCAGGAGGAAATCTATATGGAGATGCTCAGTTGCAGTGGAAAAAGTCTATACAGATATTTGTGTCCTTGGGCAACAAATTAACTAGTATCCACCATAATACACAAGAAAGATGTGCCCGTTTCCCATAGTAAAGGGAAAATAGCAGCTACAATCTAACTGACTGCTATAGGCAAAGGAGAACTATTTTATTTTCTACTGTCTTTAGACGCAAAGAAAAGAAATGCTCTGGTGTAGTCAAATGATTAACCTTTCTAACAACTGCCAGTTTCAAGCAGTAGGAAAAAGTAGAGATGAATGCAGTTAGATCTTACTCAATAGTCACTAGTTATTAATAACATGTTGTAAAGAGGAAGTAATGTGCATGAACTTTAAGAACCAGAAGCACACTTTCCTTTGCTAGGGCAGGGGGTTGGCTACCCCAGCTGTGGTGAAACAACAATTCCCATCATGTATCTGGGAGTCATGCCTGTGGCTGTCAGAATCTTAACATGCCTTGCAATGCCCATGGACTTGTAGTTCCACAACAGCCGGAGTGCTAAAACATCCCTACCCCTGTGCTAGGGTATATGACATTACATTTCTTCTGCAGGGTAGCTTTGCTAAGATGTTTGGTCAGATGTTGCAAGCATTAAGGTGGTGCATTCCAGATCTCCATTAAAAGGTAAAGGGTATAACGTGGGTCCTATCAAGCCTTTGAGACCTAACTGAACTCCAAGACAGTACTCAACTTAGGCAGCAGATAGTACCATTCAAATTAATAATAGAACATCTCCAACACTCTAAAAGCCTAGAGAATGGCTGAAACTAAATAAAGTGTATTCATCTGAATCATTACAAATCAGTCTCATTGCATGATGGCTTTTCCCTCAGCTATAATGGTAGGAGATGATGTTAAAATGTCATGTGTCATTTATATTCCAATCCCAAAAGGCAGCTGTTGTATCTGTAAATCTGCTAACAAGCAGACAATTAGATTGAGGCTACTTACTGTCCAGACAGGGTTCACAGACAGTCTGATTCACCCCACATTCCTGTACGACACCCTCTCCAGCTCCGCAGGTTCTGCAGCACTCTCCACCTGTGGTGTATTGTCCTATCGGGCAGTCCTCTGCACCCGCCAACAGCTGAAAAGACAAATAAACACAAGTTATCACTTGAATTCAAATAGGTTACATAGTTCTATGGCATTTAAGAGTGAATGAAGATGAGACAGTGCATCATGAACTTCCTCTAGTCGACTAGGAGCAATCTTTGGGCCTGATGGCTCGGTTCCAGCAGCCATTTAGAAAACAGGGGGCCTTCCAAAGGCCTTCCAGAATGAGGATTCCATGGTAATAAAGACTAAAAAAAATGCCAGGTGATTGTCTCCAGAGTCCAAAAAACCTTTGGACTCTGGAGACAATCACCTGGTGCTGTTTTTTAGTCTTCATTGACTAGGGCATATAGTGGCAGTCTATGTGGCACTCCAGTGAGACCTTGGTGGCCTTTGTGAGGAAGGTCATAAAATACAAAAATAATAAAGGTAAAATTGTCCTATTGAGCTGGAAGGTCTTTCCTTACTGCTGCCCAAACCATGCTACATCCAGCTTAGGGTTTAAGGACAACTGAGCAAAAAATCAATGGGTACCATGGACCAAAATGAGTTTCATAAGAACCAAACAATACACAAATTTCTGAAGCCAGCAAAAAGCAATATTCTACACTGGTTCAACAATTTGCGAAAAAAAACAGATCTTTGTTGAATACAGGTTTCCCTCGGGGTACGTCCACTTCTCTTTAAAGGTACAGGGACACCCCAGAAGACCAGCACAGCTAAATGGGAGCTAAAGACATCCAGTGTGTCCATGTGCACCTTGCTTTAAAAAGCTAGTTATAAATTGATTGGAGCAACTGCCATTTTTGTTTTGCTTTCATCTCCATTAGTGTCTACTGTGTTACCTTATAGCAGCCAATCAGATTAAAACTGCACTGGATAATTACTGTATATTTACTGTATATTAGGGTAATGGTTGAAGTAGGATTTTCAGCTGGAAGATCTCACCACTGGAGGCCCAAAAAATTGAGAACTCAATGTGTGCTTCAGGAACTGTTAATGCTACAACATACAAATACATTTAGGCAATTGTGGCATCAGTGTGGAGAAGGCCCTTTTCTGTTCCAGCACAACATGGCTTGACAAGTTTGGTGTGGAGGAACGTGAGTGTTCTGCACAGAGCCCTGACTTTAACCTTACTGAACATCTTTGGCATGGAATGGAAAGCCCATTTCAAGCCAGATCTTCCCATCAAACATCAGTATCTGACCTCACAAATGCTCTTTTGGCGGAATGGGCACAAATCCCAACAGACAAACTCCAAAATCTTGGGGAAAGCCTTCATAGAAAGGGTGGAGGTTGTTATAGCTGCCCATGGTTTTGGAAAGGGATATCCAATAAGCTTATGTAGGTGTGATGATCAGATGTCCACAAACGTTTGGCCATATTCACTCTAATCTATGCAACTCCAAAGTGAAACAATATGAAAACTAAAAAAGACAAGCCTATTGCAAGCCAAGGCACAGCTGCAAGACCTACAAATGATTCTTTGTAAGAATTAAATGACCTTCCAATTAGGAGGAGGGCATAGCAGCTCGAGAGACTGTCTTTTAGTGATTGAGCCTCATAATAAAGAAGACTAATTTGCCGTGAGAGAAAAGGACAGTTTTCCAATAATCAAGCTGCTCTTTTTCCACACTCAGCATGATAATAAATACTGGCAAATGACTTTTTTAGAGCAGTGGTTTCCAATATCCTTTCCCCTCACCCCGCCTATCTACAGGAACGTCTTCATTGCATCTTCATTAGTGCACAGATGGTGGTACATATGTCATTGGCCACCTGTGCTTATTGTATGTATTTCCATTCTTAATAACCTACGTTGCTGGGGGTCCAGAGGCCTAGGGCTGCACCTTTAATTCAAATGGATGCAGATGCTGCACATGATTAAAATGGAGATGAATTCGTGTGTATGCTATGTGACTGTAGAGTTATTTTTGCTAAAACCCTATGCGTGGCTTAACTCTATGTAACAGAAGACTTGACCACACAAAGTCACTGGACAATCACAGCTGATTGACCCACCTCCTGCCTCTTGCTTACAATACCTAGATAGTTCACTTAATCCCAGAATGCATTATGGCAGTTTGTGTGAAAGCAGCTTTTCAAGGATTTTGGTTTTCACATCGTTCTGTCTGTAAAGGCCATCTTGACTTAAATCTGATATTTCGGTTTTGCTTGGTTAATGGCAAGTTGCATACTTGCAAACTACTCAGGATTTGAGTAGTTTGGCAAACGACAACTGAACAGGGCTGACACCACTCAGTCCTGAGAAATGCTGTGTGGTGATAGTCCACAACAGAACATAGGAGCTGAGTGCCTTTCTGGCAGACCAACAAGAGTGAAGAGAAATAGCCCCTCCTTCTGGGTGTGGGGTACACCTGACTCACTCCTCTTCCTTCCATGTGTCAGTGCTGGTGCTTCATCACTGGTCTTTCAGGCACTCAGTGCTGTCACATGGGAAAGGGGGAGGAGTCCAGTTGTGTGGCCCATAAGCTACTGGGTGAGCCAGTATTTGGTTGAACTTGAAGTGAAGTGTTTTGCCTTGCAAAGGCAAAGCATTGTTGAATTTAAATTGTATGTGAACCATAACTATGAACTTCTCTTATTTGCTTTCTTTTGGTCTGCTATATATACCATTGAAAGTGTTTTGTTATATATGTACAAATAGTAAGTCTTGATCTTGCAGAAATCTTGTGAGCTTGTCAGCATTACCAGCATTACTGAGCTTCCTGACTGATCGCTGCGCCTGTCACACAAGCAGGAACAGGGCCAAGCCTCTTCAGTAACTGGATGGCTGATTGTTTTCTTTCAGGTCCACCTGTTTGCCTTCTAAAGTTGAGCCATTGGGTAGGCTGAACCTGATGTATTATGCTGTGGCACTAGTTGCCCATCAGGTCCACCTCCACTTAGATTGACAGTGGGCAGAGCCTGATGGGTGATGCTGAAAGACTAGTTCCCCATCAAGCAATAAAGGGCACACTGGCACTCTGAAAGTCCTACACGCCAAGTCCTCTTTATTAGCCTGACAGAAAAGGTTTCAGTGCGTAGAGCAACATTTTGGTACACAATCAGGTTCATTCCTCAGGCAAACATAGTTCCCCTTCAGGTCTGCCTCTCTTGTGATTGACAGTAGACAGCAGTCAACGAATTCTATCGCCACTAGCGGGCTTAGAGTCCCAATACTTAACATTGATATCATAGAATATTTTGGGGCAGAACCTGATGGGTGAAGGTGGATTGTTAGTTCTACATCAGGTCCACTCCCCTTTGAAGTGACAATGGTGGGCGTCAACATTTTCCACCTTGGGCGACATCCGCCACCAATATGGCCCTGGGCACATCGATGGGTATTATTCTGTACTTGCAGGGTGCTTAAAGTGATAAAACATGGGGAAATGTGCATGCAATCCAGAGAGGTACTAAATATGTTTCTTTTTATGTTGCCTTGACATACGTTTTAAAGTATAAAGACAACAAGAATAGCTCAAAATTTGCTCTTAGTGAGAGTATATGTTTCCGTTTAAGCAATCTCTGCAGTTAAACATGTTCTTGTACACAGCACTTTCCATCATCCTACACATGCTCAGTGATAAAGTATGGCATGTTTGGTATTATAAACAACAGAATTCCCTTACAGATCATGTATCAATCACTATAACTCCATAAGATGTGGCTGTTTATAAAAAAAAAAGGCAAACTGATAGAATGTTTAGATTCGGAGGAAACTCAATATCTGTCTAGAATGGATTGCCCACCTCACCGGGGCATTTATGGCCATATATAACGGTAAAGTGACCTCTCCTAAAATATACAAAATGCTATCAAGTACACTTTCTGTGGCTGTAATGATCAGGTGTTTTGTGTCCAGATTGTCTATTATTAATGAAAGGCACTTGTTGTTAATTCCCCTATATCAATTAGGCAGTGTAATTGGAATATTCAATATATATATATACAGTTCTGAGTGTTTCCTCATGTGCAGTGACCCTTCGTGGCTGACAAGTCAGAAGTAGTTAGTAAGAACATCGGAGGGGGATTGTTACAGATGTGGTTGCAGTATGAGTAACTTGCAACAATGTCAGGAATATGTAGAATGCATGTCATATGGAATCACATGCTGCTACACTGCTACTATTTAGAGTAGTGGGCCCATACAGAGAAATGCATAGCGAATCACAATGTAGTACAAACGTCTTAAAAAAAAAAGTTTTAGAGATAGTTCCAAAGTGCAGAACTGGCAGATGTCTCTGATTTCCAGTTCCAAGTATTGAAGGTTTGCTTCTGGAAGGTTTGGTGCCATGTGTAGTTGTACCCTGAACCCGCTTTTTTGATTGTTGTCCTCTATGAATGGCCAGCGCCATTCAAATCTGATACAACCATGAACTGACATGAAAAATCACATCCTGAGTACATGTACAAGAGGTGATAGATCATCTGTTAATAACATCCTGTATTGTGAATGGCCCATTTAATCAAGAGCCTGGCTAGTTTTGGAGAGGCTGCTCACATGTAGTAAATCACCTTCAAGTGTGAAGAGAAAAGCAGGAAGAGCTTCACACCAATGATCAAGGAGTTTAGGTTCTCCTTCACCAGGGCTGGTCAGGGTACATGCAATAGAGAACATTACCAAGATAGGGCTTCAGTGTTGTATTATTATTAATATTATACAGGATTTATATAGTGCTTTATAGCGCTTTACAACATAGGGAAGACATTATAGTTACAATACAATTCAAGACACAACGGTAAGGAGCAGAGGCGTCCTGATGCTGGGTGGCACCCGGAGCGGAGACCGGGTGACACCCAGCTGTGACATCATCGTGCATAATTGACGCCTGCCGGTGGCCATCTTACTGATGAGAGAGGAGGGGACGTTCACCCGGCGGGATGAGGTATGCCGCCGGGTCCCCTTCTCTCTCCTGACACTGTTGGGCTCTCAGTCCGTGACCGAGTGCCCGACTTTTCATAGTGGGTGACATCAAAACACCCGGGTGTCACCATTGGAGGGGTGACATCAAATGACTGTCA